AAGAGTAAGCATCCACTCTTCTATACCTAACCATTTCTCACATACAATGTCAGAAGGTTCGGTTTGAATGCTCTATATAACTCGGTCTTTCCCTTTCATCTGACATTTCATAGGCGGAGTAATCAATATAAATCAGACATTACTGCTTAAAGAACGTGTTCCGAGACGATCGACCAAAATCTTCCACTTATGACGTCACTGTAAAATTGACAAAGACCCACGATTGAGACAAGAAATGATTGCTCATTAGCATTGGGCTTAAAAGCCCTTCCTGTCTCGCGTATATCAAGTAATCTGCTCGATGGGTACCACGAATTTTAAAAGAGGTCTAAAAAGAAACTCGAAATTAATAATTGTTTAATATATATGCTGAATGATTATTGGACCCACCCATGTCAGAAATAGGTTCACTAAGAAGTGAGTGCCTTGACTACAAAGTTATTAAAAACATATTATTTATCATTTATATATCTATTAACTCAATGCTTGCTGTGTGCTTTAATTTACTTTATAAGAGAACACAAAACGAAAAACATCATTTTTCCAAAATGAATCAATATTCATCAACAGAAACAGCCGAAGTGTGGGTAATGAAACAATGAGCAGCTCGCGCAGTTGGCAACTTAACTCAGCGTACAAATTTATTATTTGTTTGTATGTATGAGAGCATTTACAAACATACAAATATGTATGTATATGTAAATATGGTTTGTATGCCAATGAATTATAGGGCGCTTTCACTTATAAAAATGAATTCATATTTCGCCCCACACTGTAGCATAGGTATGTGTGCGTGTATATGTGTTGATGATAGTTCATTGTATGCACTTTGCGTCAACTGGGCGTTTAAGCGTAAAAAATTTCACTTTTTATACTCTTTCGATTTTTTTTCCTTTCTGCCTTCTACGCCTTGCCTCAATCACAACAACCGTCAGCTGCCGCTTAAGCCGCCGTGTGAAAGTTAGTCTGTTGGCAAGTCAGTTTATCCGTCTGTCGGCAAGTCGTCCATATTGACTATTGGCAAGGCATATTGCTTTTGTAGGCACAGTGTGCGAGTGGTTGTGTGATGTCGCTGAAGCGCGCTTTAAATTATTCGAATTATGCGGAAAGCAGTTGAGCGGCGAAGCGAAGAAAAGCATTCAGTTAACAGTTATGCGAGTAGTCATGCGAGTTCTCTATACGCGTACATACATATTACATATCTCCACCTGCAGTTGATTAAATGAATGAATTGCTGTGTTGGAATATTCCCATGTATGAGTTTATGCAAAGTGGCGTATGGGGGACTATCCAGCTCTCACAGGAAGCATATCAAGCAAACCTTTAGGCTGACTGCTATGCGTACTTCCTGATGCAAAGTGTGAAGGACTTGCGGCAGCACAAAACAGTTTCGCTTTTTTATTCAGCGATTCTCCCTTCATTTACCTACCTTTACATCTACTCTCTTTCCTGTTCTGTACTTTTGCCGTGATTGTTTAACGCGCCGCGCAATTTATGGATCATTGGCAATTTGTCGGGAATATGATTGATTTTTTTTCTTCAATTTTCTTTTCATCTTTTTCCATAGCTTCATGTTTTTTCCTTTTGTGCTTTGAGTGCCATCGAACTAAGTCAATATTGTAATTTACTGAAGCACAGAAGTTATTAGAAATTCCTTCAACTCATCTTTTAGTTATTTATGAAGGGATATTGATTTCCAGCAATAATAATTTCAATATAAATTGCGTGCATTTTAGCATAATTTCCTCCATTTTTAATTTTAATTCAATTACTACTTTAATTCAATTACTAAATTTTTCCCGGATAAGTAGACCCGAATATGTTAGATAAATGATTTTGTTCTAAATAAGTTTTTAAATGATTAGTTTTTATGTTTTTATTTACTTAAAATATATATTATGGTAAAAAGTTCGATTCAGCGGTTAAAAAGCGCCAATTATATATATATATATGTATATATAATGTGAAGGGGCCCTATAATACCATAGCATGTACATGGAAGGTTAGATCAACATACTGAATAAAATTTCAGAACACTTATTTCGATATTCAAAAGCTGAGTACCGACTACAAAATAAATTAATCATACGCACTGGTGCACCATAATAAAAATATATATATTCACTTATAAGTTTGTTATGATAACTAAATATAAACTATTAAACAAAAATCATATAATGATTCAATTCATCCAAAATCTATTACGATTTTGTTAGAAATAATTCTCTTGTTAACTGTCCCTTGGTAATGTATAACATCCATAGTACTGTCAGCTGGTAATGTACAATTTCGCCTATTAAACAACAATTGTGGAAATCTAACTTTTAATTTCTTGTTATAAGCTGTTTTTGAGTTACATTCTTTTCATACTTCAATTGTTTTCGTTTCTTGAATTCTTATAATCTTTATTTTGAAACTCATGATACACAAATGATATAAATATGAGTCTTTTCTATTCGGAATTCAAGTATTTTTAATCAGTTTTAATTGATTTTATTGATGACACAACATCAAGAAATATAAAAAAATAGTAGCTAATCCTACTTTCTCTCTAGAATAATAATTTTATTATTGTTTTTAAATAAAATAAAAAGAAAATAATATAGAAATTTCACATTGTCGATTTTCGAGTTTTATGCAAGCAAAATGCTTCGCTTAGAGGATGACAGCATTTGTAAAAATGATGTCCTAGTTGAACCAAAATGACAACACCGCCGTTTAATAAGTGTGATGGATGGGACAAGGACCCAAAAATGGGGGTCCTGGTGAAATATACTACAGCGATCATACAAAGAAGGGCAAATTTGGTGTCGGATTTGTAGTGAGGTAGAGACTCCGCAGCCTCCTCAAATGAGTTTAGGCTGATCGACTTCAAAGCCCATTAGTCAACAAACATAAGGAACGTTTGACGTAGATAAGCTCCAATCACAACAAACTGCTGAAAGCTTTGTTAATCGACGTGCACACCTGATTTCTAAGAGCAACTTAATACGAGCAAACTGTGGTACGGCATCTCAAGCTCCCTACATACCACTGCTACGGAAACAATTCGTTTTCGGCAGTGCAAGAGAAAAAGCTGATACGATCAGAATTGTCGAATTGGACTAGAGAGAAAACAGACTGCCTCCCTGCTGGTTTCAAGACCGGATCAGATACTTGTAAGACCCACAAAGGTGAACTAGTTACACTTGTAAAGAATGCTTCTCCGACCTGCTAAATGGCAGTGATAATGAAACACCTGGAAATGGTCAACCCGAAACCACCGTCATGATGGTGTAAAAGACGTTCCATTAGCCGACAGTGAAAAAGTTTGAAAAGCGATAACCCATTTAAAAAAAAATAAAGCGAATGGCGCTGTTGGTCTACCGGCTGAAGGATCAGGTGGAGATAGAATTGGTTTCATTTAGCATTCCCATTAAGGATAAGGATCTACTGATGTGCTATTGTTGATTCGGCAATAATTACGTACGCTGCGGGCACGCCAATGAAGAAGAAGAAGAAGAAAAAAGGAGTGTATTTACAATGGCTGAGGGCAAAACCAAACATCAAAACGCAATCGCATTTCTGTGCAAACTTGGTTTGGGTTAGTCATTTAAAAATGCCCCCACGCCAAAAGACCAATCTCAAACAGTTTTTTGATAAGGCGTACGGAGTTTTTTTGGGATAAATTTGCGATATATTAGCATACTCCAGCTTCGAAAACGTTAAATACTATTTCCAAAATCAATTTCCAGTTGCAAAACAAACTAAATGCTTTCCTTTGTTAACTTTCTTTCGAGGAGCAATTTTTAAAAAAATAAATAGAAAATATATTAATAGACAAATTGAATATAGTTTAGAAATAAATTGTTCATTTTAAAATATATTGGATTCTTTTGTTCTTGTTGCCGATCTCCAGAAGCGCCTGTAAAAAAGGTGTCTTGCCGTGAGGAAGATATTTCTGCTTCAAATTGTCTGCAACCCGAAAACCAAAACAATTTAGTATTATAATGGATGAGTACCGATAATGATTGAAGGAAAAGTGGAAATTTAATTTTTGACATAATTGCGGCTTCAAAAAAAAACTATAATTTTTTGTGAGAAATTCTTTAACAACTTTCACTCATTATCCAACAAATATGCCTAAGAAGGACGTATGAAGATTTTAAGTCGAACGGTTCAGCCGTTTCAAAGATATTTTCCTCACCAACTCTGAAAACAGAGTTTCGCTTCGCCTATTTTGGAACGCCACGAGACGTCCTAAATGATACGATCATATCTCCGAGACTTTTTGTCAGATCAGATTTTTGGAAAATATGCTCAAATATATGTGCATTCGAAACATGAAAAAAACATAGATTTTTCGAAAAGTACAAGTTGGTATAACCCTTTCAATAATTGTGAAAAAAAACAAAAATAGGAAGATGTTGCAGAAGCCATTTCCATTTGTCTTAGTTCCTTATAAGAATATCAAAATTTTTTGACTTAAATGCTCAATCAAAATCCACTACGATTTTATTTTTACTCTTAAGCAAATACATGGTATATATAAACTTGAGGGGCAAGGGATAATTCTCTGTACTCATATAAACTTTAAACAAAACCAAAACACTGCATGCAAGTGTAGGAAAATATATTCATTTGGCTGGTGAATGAATGAATGTGAATTTTACGCTCTACTTCATGCACATTGGTTTCCTATTCCAACCAGGTACATACGTACTCGTACTTGTACATACATAGGAAAACATGAGCACAAATATTTGGTGTGTGGAACCTGAATTTGCGAAAATACACGCACACATATTTGCATAAATAAGAAAAACATTAACGCCGGCTATTTTCTCACTAACAAACTATTTTCCCATTAGATTTAACATATAATATATTTGTACTTTTATACAGCCTTCTAAAATCGCACCGCTGATGTACTACCTATATTTAAAGCTTATATATAAATATATATATATATACGAGCACCTCCATTAATTTCTATTTGATATTTGTATACTTTGCACCAGGTACACTATACAAAATAGGCGATGTACTGCCACAGGATACCGGAAATTGCCTGCAATGTGTGTGTATAGAGGGCACAACGGGTGACGATACGCCGCGCGTCACCTGCAGTCCGCACAATTGCCCGCCGCTGGTGTTGCCCGATCTCTTCGATGCTACAGGATATTAAAGAGGACACAGACGGACTGCGATGTCAGCGATGAAACTAAACTACAAAAGAAAAAAAAATAAAGAAAAAACGAAACAACAACATACATAAACTAACCCACACTGTGACTAAGAGGGAAAATACATACACAAAACTTCACATACAGTATATAAACTCGCTCACATACCGAGCCGCAGAGGATAGCAGTGAAATAAGCAAAAGTAAAAAGAATTAACGTAAAACTAAAGCAAAACTTCTGGCGACTCCTCATGAATGGCGCCTGTTGGCAACATCAATAATGATGCGTTTCGCTCATAGTTCATCAGCTGAAGCAACCGATGTCATTGAGAGTTAAAAGGTAAATTGCTTATAACATCACACATAGTGATTTATTGATATTTTATCAATGATGTTTGAGGCGGTAAGGGGTAGGGAAGGGATGGGAAGAAGGCGTTTACGCTGGCAGATGAGATATTTTAGTTCACAACAAGCATAGTCAACTGTCAACGACTACCTGTGCCATAAATAATCGCAAGCCATTTCACATGTTCCAACGGCAAACGCTTAAAATGCAATAAACCGTTACAAATATGCATGCCATACACACACACACTGATAATAATATATATATATATTTATATATATAATTATCTATAAATAGGAATATACGAGGGAACTAACAAAAGCTCGGTAAGCTGACCAGAAAAACAGTAAAAATAAAAAAAATCCTTTTGTATTTATTTGTAATCTTTGTCCTTTGTTATCTTCTCTACATAATCGTCATTGATTATAGACTTGAAATGCTGAAGTCTATAGATCCACTTCTGAAAACAGTCTTTAAAATCTTGCCTTTTAAGCTGATCAAGTTCAGCATTAGCCGCATTAATTATCTCCTGGTTGCCATTAAAGACCTTGGACCTGTTTAGTTTCTGGATCGTTCCAATAGGAAAAAGATTCGTCACCAATAACGACTTTATTAAAGTTGCTAGACTGGCCATTTTCGAATTTGTTTAGGAAAAATTTATTCGAGCCCCTTTTTGGGCTTCATTTAAAATTCGTGGTATCCATCGAGCAGATTACTTGGTATTCGCTATGCAACAATGGCATTCAATCCCAATTCATTAGCAATCATTTCTTTTGCCAATCGCAGGTCTTCGTCAGTTTTTCGTTTCACCAGAGCTACAGTGACGTCATAAGTGAAAGATTTTGGTCGATCGTCTCGGGACTTGTCCTTTAAGGAATTATATTTGATCTGGAATCATCGGAGCTACATAGGAAAAGTCAATAAAGACGGTGCAATCATTCCATATGCAATTTGGCATCCACTGAATATTTGTATTGGCTGTAAATTAAGCCGAACACCGAAGAGAATCACATGGTGAATTTCTGGTTACGTTAGTGGTGGAATTTCGTCTGACCTGTCCTCAGCTATCTAGCGGGTTTTTGTCTCCATTTTAACCTATCGTTGTAAAATTGAAGGGAAGACTTATTAAGTAGATGCAAAGGATTTGGTGATTTAAATGTAACAAAAACAATTTGAACATCAGCTGACCGAAGTTTTGTAAGTCCTCTCGTCTCGTTTTATAAATCCCCTAGTCTATCTATATACAGTTGAATGGTTGCACTGAGCGTCAGTATCATGAGATGCAATTACTGTCTCTTCCCTGCACTCTGCAGCATCCTTTCGCGTGCATAAATACATGCAACAACAAATATTTATATGTATATTTTTTATTTATTTGTAACACCGAATGCACAGTTTTGTTTTTTTTTTTTCGTTTTGGTTCCATTTCCTCGTTATGCTTGCCTGTGTATTTTTACTATTTTCAGCTTATGTGGGACTTCGTGTGATTTTATGCTTTCACGCTTTGTTGATTTTCAAAATTATAGACTTGACGTTAACTAACTGTACATCGGTTCGTTGGTTGGTTGGCTGGCTGCTCACATGTGCACATACGACTTTACATAACTATAATAAATGCATATATGTTTGTATGTGTATATACATATATATATTTAAATGAATCCGAATTACATTTCATAACCATAAATTGTGTGCACAACATAATTAAGGCCAGCGGTTAGGCCACTAAATAGATGAGTGTGGAAATTGTAATAAAATAAAACACAGTATGTCGAGATATTTATAGCGGACTTTATTTTCAGTTGAATAATTTTAATTAGAATTTCAAAAAAGAAAAAAATTGTTGAAAGGAAACAAATTAACAGTTCCAAATTGCAATTAATAAATCAAAGTTCAGAATAAAATAATGTTTTTTAACAGAATTTAGAGTTACATATATACTAAATAGCACTCACGAGGAAGTTGACCTCAGCAAAGTTCCCTGCTCCTGCCAGCTAATTTGCAATGAAGATGATACACCCTGAGAAAGCGAATCAAAAACTCTCTCAGTCACCTGATTATGACAAGGCTAGCATAGCAATTGTTCGTTTAAAGAACAACAAAGTGGCAGAGCTATTCAAACATGACGATGAAGAGCTATCAAAGCATGGCAGAATATGGTCGAACGAAAGCTTGCCCGACTACAGGAGTTCTAATGTACTCTGCCCAATCAACAAAAAAGGGCCTGCGCTAATAACCAAAGGATATAGCTCCTTAATATTGCAAATAAAGTCTTTTCGGGCGTTTTGTGTGAAAGACTCAAGCCCATTGGACCTTATCAGTGTAGCTTTAGTTCTGTTAAGTCAACTATTGACTAGATATTTTTTATTCCTGCCTTACTTATACGACTGTGTAAGCTGACGCTGAGCAAGACCAGAAGCGCAGAGAGAGTTGAGAAGGTCCTCTTTGAGGAGTTCGATACCAAAGTAGGTTTCAGACAGGGTGACTTCATGTGACTTCTTTAATTTGACGCTAGAGAATACGATGAGAGCTGCAGAGCTGAACTAAGGGGGTACCATCTTCCAAAAGGGTGTACAGCAGCTGACATACGCCGAATGAACATTATCGGCCTCAACAACCGCGCCCTGAGTTCTGCTTTCTCCAGACTTGTTGTTGAGGAGGCGAAAGATATGGGTCTGGTACTGAACAAAGCCAAGTCGAAATATCTCCGAATATCAAACAAACAGTCATTACACTCGCAACTGGGCTCTAACGTCAATGTTGGCAGTTATAACTTCAAGTTCGTAGATAATTTCGTTTATCAAAGGAACAGCATTAACGATGATAATTTCAGCCAGGAAATCCCACGCAGATTCACTCTTGCACAGGTGCTACTTTACACTGAGCAGGCAATTGAAAAATAAAGTCCTCTTTCGAACCAAACTGGTCGCCCTTCTATATGGCACAGTAGCGGGGACGATGTCAATGACTTTGCTTCATTGAATGAAGAGACAGCCATTAAGCTGGCTAGGTTATGTCGTCCAAATGGATGAAAGAACTAAAGCTTTGGAACTGCTCGATGCAGTACCCGCTGATAGAAGCAGAGGAAGAGAAAGACTTCCACGTTGGTAGAGTCAGGTGGCGAACGATTTGGTTTCACTTGGACCTCACAATTTTCGCCAAATAGCGAATACGGGAAATGAATTCGCGTTATGATTGATTCGGGTATAATCGTATAAGCGGTGTCAGCACGAATAAAGAAGAAGAAGAACACATTAAAAAAGCTCTAAGAATATTATAACTTTGTTATTTAATCTGGCCTTATTAGGTCCAGTTCATTTGGTTTTTTATTGATTTTTCAAAATATGATAACTTTTTATACATTTGTCCGATAGTTTAATTACAAAAAATACAATTTACATTGTTTAGTAGAGTGCGAAATTAAATTAAATTACACTTTATTATTTACTGTCTCCTTTTCAGCTAATAATTCAATAAATTTCATTCGATCTAAAAATGCAACAACGTCAAGGCATATCCTACAACAAATCAAACTTCGAAAGGCACATCTACGTCTAACGTAACAACACAAACAAACAACATACAAACACACTCGTAGAAAAATATATAGACCATATTCCTTCCATACATAAACAAATATGTATACAAACATGCACATAACTATAGCCAAATCATGGAAAGAACATAAAATAAATAAAATAAAAATGCGAAACTAAGATGAGAAAAGTAGGCAAGAAGAACCCCAAAGGAAGTGAGAAGCGCATTATCAAATATTTATAAGAAAAATAATAATGCTGTATATTATAAATTAAAATAAAAATATATATATAGCATGTATGTACTATAAGCATACAAACGCATACACATCATTTATTTATAGAAATAATTAGGAGCAGAACAAAAAAGAAATAGAGAAACAAAGCATTATGAGGCTATAGGTTATATATATATAATATATATATAATATATATATATATATATATATATTGTTGCGAAAATGCGAGGCGAATGTCAGATGAAAGAGAGAAGCCGATAACACAAGATAATTGGATTGTGAATTACTGAGAGAATAAAGGACATTAGATAGAATCTTTATAACGAAAGAAACTGCAAACTAAGTTGGCGAGTTTTTATTTAACAATCCAGAGATCGTACCCGAAGGATCTAGAAAATAATCGAGGTTGATTCAGTAAAATCGTAACAATATATATATATATAGATAAATTAATGTCTATTTAAGATTTAATATGTGAAAGCAAATTAAATACAACTACATATACATAACAAGCAGGTAAGTTTGCATGTTCAAAAACAGTTACACGCCGGAGTAGCGAAAAAAAAGTAAATAAATATGTAATACAATAATATTATTTGGTAAATAGTAATTAATATTTTATCACATATAAGATGATAAGTGATTATTCGAAACTGTAATATTTATTTAGTGAATAATACCGTAAAATCAATTAAGTTAAAGTAAACAGAAATATATACTCGTTTACACACATACAATTAATCATACGTGTAACCCGAAAAACTGAACAGAGACAAATAATTTAATTTCTTCCTAAGTACAGTTAATCAAATTATAAATGACAAATATAAATGTTACCAAAAATAATGGCAAACTATAATAAATCAATATAGTATGAAACGCAACTAAATGAAAACATTATTTATCGTTGTTTTAAATTTTTAATTTGTTTAGCGTAAAAGCAACTAATTTGCTATGTAGAATAATGTACACATTTGTGAAATTCTTACATACATACGAGTACACACAAATATACATCTACAATATTATATTTCAATTCACGCTGCAAGCATATAAACAAATATATGTAATAATTTATATGATATCGCAAAGCAGTTGTAAATTTATGAATAAATAGCTGCTTAATAAATAAAAGGCAAAAAGTTACGTATACGCCACCGACCCAATGCCACAATGCATACTATTGTACAATACATACACGTACATGCAGTTGTTCAGCGTTAATCACTTCAACAACTTAATTAAAAGTAATCAAAAGCATATAAACAATTTCAACAACAACAAATATAATTTAAATAGAATGAAAAAATGCAAAAGCTATTATATTTCTTTCGCGCTGATTTATTGCCTTTTAATTATAAATTATTTTATGTTTTAATTTACTGCACACAGTTATTTAAATGTTCTCATGTTAAAAAAAAAACTTTACTAAAAAATTTTATGAGCAATTCTGTTTTAAAAGAGTGTGGTAGCTTAAGCGTAAAAATCGCTGAAATTTCGATAGAAAATAATAATTGAATTTTTTAGCATTTATTTGCAAGAATTTTTTACGCTTTTTTTTGCCAAGCATTGCCAACTTGATTATTGGTTAATTTTTAAAAACTCATATATTAAATTTCATGTTTGCGTCAATTATTATCACAAAATGTGACATTATTGCAAATTTTATTATTAACTTCTATTATCTAAATATAATAATAAACTTCATTTCATAGAAGCAAAATAATTTAGATAAGTTGTGTACTTAATTTCCATTGTATGTGTATTATTTTCAAATAAATACAAAAATGCAGCTATCATAATTTAATTATTTTTTACAACTAATTCCTCATTATAAATTGCGTTTATTTTTGATGTGATTTACATTTATCATTAATTTTATATATAATTTTTTTTTATTAGCATCTTCTGTTACTGTAATTTAATTTCAATAGTAATGAAAATTGCGCTAGAATCATTTTATTTTAAGCCTATTGTTCGCTTATTTTCCAGTAAACATTTTTAATGAAATCGGCTTTAAATGGACAAAATTGTAAAAATCTTCTGAGAAAGAGTGGCTTGGAATCCGCCTAAAATGTCGCAATTATTAATCATCATATAGTAAAAATTCGAAAATTCGCAATTCATAACAACTTCAGATAGTGAAAATCACTGTTCTTCATATGATCGAGGCATATCCGGAGTGCAGCACGACTGACTTGTTACTTCGATTATATGAAGGCTCTGATAAGTCTGAAGGCGTTAACTGCAATACGAATCAAACAGTTAGGCAAGATACTCATGTTCTCACAACCAGCATTTCATTCATAGCCTGAATGGCATATTTTAAGTCAACGCTTTTACGCTTTTACTCGTTTTAAACCATTATTATTATTGTCGACCATAAAAGCCGAGCGGCTAGCATTCTGAACTAACATTTTGGGAGACTAGGTTTCGAAATATGCTTCGAATAACACACAGAAATTATTGAAATATATTTTTTTCTAGTTGCGTGCACCCTGGCAGGTAATATAAAGCCCTCCAAGTGTATTTCTGAAATAATATTAAAACTCCTCATGAAAATTCATCAGCCATTCAGAGGCAGCTTAATATAACCTTTTATTCCACCCGTTTGCTGAAAAGGACTCGTCCGTCGCGATTACACATTACATAAGCATATATACAAGTGGACGTTTCCCACTTCCTCTGTTTTCAGCAGAGGTTACTTCGCCCCCATAGTCACTAGGCTATATCAATATCACCGCATATTTTGTGCATATGGAGACCAAGACGCTAGTGAGCTTACTGTTTGTTTAATAAAAGGGGATATTTTGAGCAATTTTTGTTCCGTCTGGAAAAAGCAGAACATACGAATATACTATATTCTTGCTTTTCATAGTTCTTACTGCTTTTATAGCTTGTACCAGTAAGGATCTCAAGGACCACCACCCGCTAATCAAAGCAGTACATGGGGTTTACAAAACTGT